ACCGAAGGCGTGCTTGGGGTTGCGCAAGGGGAGCGTCCAGACTAGCACGCTGTGCCGACAAACAGCTGATCAGCTGTTTGTCGGCTCAGCGTGGCAGCATGTAAATTTAAAAGAAGCCGCGATCATTTAAATCGCGGCTTCATTTCCCTTTGCCAAAAAAACAAATCTGCATGGCTCAGTCGATGGAGTCATGTAGTTTAGAGGTACCCTATGAGTATGTCTACACAGCAAAGTGATTTTGAAATAATAGCCATTATTTCAAAACAACTTTACCACAGTCTACACAGCCAGACCGCCATTTCAAAATCAAATTGAAATAGTGGAGGGCTTAGTTTGAAATTGGTAAACCTCATTTCATGAGGAATAGCACCAATTTCAAAATTGCTCTTTCAAAATAAGTGCTGTGTAGACGCTTATTTCAAAATAAGGGGCCTTCAGCCCTTCCCAGGTGCCCTGGTGGCCACTCTGGGCACAATGAAGAAAACTCCTCTCCCTCCCCCCACCCTCGCGCCCTCCGCCTATGCTGACTCCAAGCCTGCCAGGCTAGAGCCAGCAGTTGCTAAAGTGGTCCCAAGTATGTGCCCAATTGACCCAAGTATGAGCCAGGCAGCCAGTGCCAGCCAACCCTCTACCGCTCCTCAGAACAAGTCTGCCAGCTCCCAGGAGCCTGCCATGGACTGGAAAAAGCAGGCACCTGCCTAGTCTAGTGCGGAGATCACGGACTCAATTCAGGTTTGGGGGGATGCCTCCAACGTCCATGATCTCCGCACTAAACAGAGGAACACAACTGTCTACAGGCAGGATGGCTGCCAGCCTGGCCACCAAAGGCCACATGAGAACCCAGGAGCAAGATCACATGAAAATAAAGGAGCTGCAGCAGGTGTACGCCAGGACCACGGGGGGCAGCTCCCAACCAGGGGCAGACCCAGGCCCCTTTTGATGCCCTGGACTGAATCCTGGGGGGATGACCCGCAACTCTTGATTCTATTTTTCATTATTTGTGCCCTGTAATCAGTTGAACACTGGGTCCAGGTGTCTCTCCTGTAAGGCAGAGGCCTATAGAAGTGGATGCTCACGGCCCCATGAGTTCAAATTTTGCTCACTCCAGGCTGACCAGACAGATACCCTTTTCTCTTTGTAAAACCGAGCCTAAAATAAATTCTCCGACATCTTCTGAATCCCCTTTCCACTGCCCTGTGTCAATCAAGCCCTTCATATTGATAATATGATGAAAATAAGGGTGACAACATACAGCCTATTTTTGCCTTGTTCAGATGAAGAGATTGTCAGAGTTTGGTAACATTTCAGATGCAGAGGCTCTGATAGAGACAAAATGCCTATCGAATGTGTCTGCAGAAAGACCTCGTCATCACAATGAAATCCTGAGGAAAGAAAAAAAACCTGCTTTACTATTGTATGCTCCATAAATGCAGCATTTTTCCTTTTGCCTTTTACCCATAGAAAGATGCCGAGTGGTTCTCATACGAAAGATGTCAAAAGATTTGGACATTTTACTGCCAGAGAGTTTGGGCATTTCACTTGGCATTTCCTAAGCGAAACATCACTTGAAATTGAAAGGACATGGGAGAAGCGGCCCTTGATCTGAGGGACTGGCTTTTGGCTTCCTCCTTTCAACATGAGAAGCTAAAATCCCTTCCACTCTGGCACAAATAATGGATGTTCCTGTCCATGGTTTCTTGCTCTAACCACACAGAGAAGCTACCTAGACGATCTCCCTACAGCAGAGCTGCATCAGCCTAACCATACTGCTGTGAGCTCCCCACTGCAGACCCGGTCTGGGGGTTCAGGGAAATTGTCCAAGGGACAACAAGCATTTCTGCTGGCTGCGCCATAATGCACAAGCCCTGGTGAGTGGGTGGCATTCAGCTGCAAGGGGACACATCTGGAGCCAGCTCGCTGACAGGGAGTTACTCCATTAACTGCAGTGGCAGAGGACTGTATTGTGGGTCATTGTAGACCAGTGTTTCTCAACCAGTGTTACCAGTATCTCTAGGCCTCCTCCAGAGAGGTCTGGGGGGAATGTCAACACAACTGAAATTTGGAGAAAACTGAATTTTTATTTTAAGTTTGACAGCGCTTTATTGTTGTGCTTTCTACACCCAAAAATTTCATCACCTGTCCGGCTATGATTAAGTGGTTTAAATAAATACATTGCAATGGTGGGAAAAAAAATATGTGTGTCTGAAAACTTTTTTTAAAAAAGGGGTACTTTATTACAAAAAAAGTTGAGAAACACTGTTCCAGATCATTCCTCATAGATGTTTCTCTAACCTGCTCTTGAGTAGGTCCAATGATGGGGATTCCACAACCTCCCTAGCCTATTTATACCAGTGTTTAAGCACCCTGACAAGCAAGAAGTTTCTTTTTAAATCTCTCTTGCTGCCATTTAAGCCCATTGCTTCTTGTTCTATCCTCAGAGGCCACGGAGAACAATTTTTCTCCTTCTTTCTTGTAACACCTTTTTACCTACTTGAAAACTGCTATCATGTCCCCTCTCAGTCTTCTCTTTTCTAAACTAAACAAGCCCAATTCTTTCAGCCTTCCCTTTTAGGTCATGCTTTTTAGTCCTTTTAATCATTTTTATTGCTCTTCTTTGGACCTTCTCTAATTTCTCCACATTTTTCTTGATATGTGGTGCCCAGAACTGGACACAATTCTCTAAGGGTATGTCTACACTACAGCGCTAATTCGAACTAACTTAGTTCGAATTAGTTAATTCGAACTAAGCTAATTCGAACTAACCCGTCTAGAACTAAAAACTAGTTCGAATTAGTGTTTTGCTAATTCGAACTAGCATGTCCACATTAAGTGGACCCTGAACCAGGCTTAAGGATGGACGGAAGCAGTGCCGGCAGGGCATCACAGGAGGACTTAGAGTGTGGAGATGCTGTCTCAGGCTAGCCGAGGGCTGTGCTGAAAGGGTCCCGACCCCCACCCCGGACAGACAGTTCTCAGGGGTGCCCTGCTTGCAAACCAGTCCTGGCTTGGAGTGCCCTGACTACCCACACTGGGCACATCACAGCACTCGGCCATCAGACCGGCTGCACTTGCCGCAAGCTGCCATCTGGGGAGAGGGGGTAATTGGGGGGCTGCAGGAGAGCTTCCACCCCCAGAAGCCCGCAGAGCCAGCCCAGTCCTCCCCATCGGGGGCTCGTACCCCATTCCTCCCTCACCTCCTTCCACTTACCCTTCCCTAGCCCCTTTTCTTGATGTACAAAATAAAGGACAATTGTGTTCAAAAATGGAATCTGTCTTTATTGAACAAAACTGGGGGAGACTGGGGAAAGGAGGTGGGAGAGGGGAAGAGAGAGGCTGGGAGAGGGGAGAGCAACTACAATGATCAGGGGTTGGGAACAGGTCCCATATGAAGAGTGGCTAAAGAGACTGGGACTTTTCAGCTTAGAAAAGAGGAGACGGAGGGGGGATAGGATAGAGGTCTCTAAAAGCAGGAGTTGGGTGGATACGGTGCATACAGAAAAGTTCTTCATTAGTTCCCATAAAGAAGGACTAGAGGACACCAAAGGAAAGGAATGGGTAGCAGGCTTCAAACTAGTAACAGAAAGTTGTTCTTCACAAAGCAAAGAGTCAACCTGTGGAACTCCTTGCTGCAGGAGGCTGTGAAGGCTACAACTAGAACAGAGTTTAAAGGGAAGTGAGATCAAGTCATGGAGGTTG